ATACTTGGACCAGGAAGCACTCGACAGAACAGAGCAAGGAAACACTGCATGATTCAAAATTGGGAAGGGTATGCATCAAGGATGAGCCTTATCTCTATATCTTTTCAATCTATATGTGGAACAGATTATCCGGGAGGCTGGGCTCTACAAGGAGAAATGTGACATCAAGATTGGAGGTAGATTCATCAACAATCTGCGTTATGCAGATGACGCAACCCTGCTTGCTGAAACTAAGGAGGACTTGAAGCACTTGCTGCAGAAGGGCAAAGGCTGCAGCCTTCAATATGGATTGAAGCTCAATATCAAGGAAACAAAGATTCTCATCACTGGGCAGATTGGCAGCATCATGATGGATGATGAAGAGATTGAGACTGTTGACAGCTTCAGTTTGCTTGGCTCTACAATCAACACTCTTGGTATCAGCATCCAGGAAATTAAAAGACAAATTGCACTGGGAAAGTCTGCTGTCAGAGACCTCTCCAAAGTACTGAAGAGCAATGATGTTAGTCTGGAGACTGAGGTGACCATGGCCTTTGCAATTACTTGCTATTCATCAGCAATTACTTGCTATTCATCAGAGACCTGGATAATGACTCGGGATGATAGAAGGAGAGTTGATGCCTTTGAGATGTGATGTTGGAGAAGAGTATTGAATATACCATGGACTGCTAAGAAAATGAACAAGTTCATCCTGGAGGGGGTTAAACCAGGCTGCTCCTTGGAGGCAAGGTTTCTGAAGCTTCATCTGACATACTTTGGACATGTTGCAAGGAGGGACCAGTCTTGGAGAGGAACGTCATGCTTGGGAATGTGGAAGGACAGCGCAGGAGAGGAAGACTCTCAATGAGATGGATTACTTTAGTCACTGGGGTAATGGAGATAGGCATTTCAGAGACAATAAGATTGGCAAGGGATAGAGGCAGGGTTTAGGGCTATTGTACATAGGGTCACTATGAGTCACAGGCGATAAAACAGCAAATGTTGAGAACAACGATGGGTCAGTAGAAGCACTTCCTCCTGCCCTATCTTGTCTGGCTCCCTCAATCATCTTTCATATGTGTAGTTCCTTGAAATGTCCTTCTTCACCTCTTCCCATGTGCCCTGGGCTTGTGCAGGCAAGGGAGCAAGTGTTCACCTCCGTCCTTGTCCTCCACGGTTAAGCATTTATGTGCTTGAGGAAGGATGTTGGGTCAGACAGGGTTAACAGAAGTTACTCAGGGGTGCACTCATGGCCTATCATACCCTTCAAACCTTAAACACATCACAGACTCAGTGGCAGGTCATTCAGTCCACAAATCTGCCAGAAGCACTGACATGGGAGGAAAACATTATTTCACTGAATCTACTAAGGAGGAAGTAAACCTAGTTTCACTTTTTTCCTTAGAAAAGTGAAAAATATCAATAGTTATTTCCTCTCCTTCCCTCTCTCCCTTTGCCTATCAGCTCTATTTTAACCATTTGATTAATTCTGGTTCTATTAACTGTTAACAGGGGATTAGTATTTTCTCCAAACTTTTCACTTTAACTCTACTTTGATATCTCAGTTGTGTTTGTGTTCTTATTTTCAATTGAAAAATAAAAGGAACAAAGGGGGAAAGTATTAAGTATTTTACATTTTAAATAGAAAAAGTAAATACGAATGGTTACAAAAGCAGTTTAATACATATGATAAAGAGCATTTCCTCTCTGGAAAGTTTCTAGAGTTTGACTATTGTTGTTGTTGTTGTTATGTCGAGTCCCTTGTGGCTCATAGTGACCCTATGTACAACAGCCCTAAACCCTGCATGCCAACCTTATTGTCTCTGACACACCTATCCCCATAACCCCAGTGATGGAATCAATCCATCTCATTGAGGGTCTTCCTCTCCTGTGCTGTCCCTCCATCCTCCCAAGCATGATGGCCCTCTCCAAAGACTGGTCCCTCCTTGCAACATGTCCAAAGTATGTCAGACGAAGCCTCAGAATCCTTGCCTCCAAGGAACATCCTGGCTTCACCCTCTCCAGGATGAAATTGTTTGTTCTCCTAGCAGTCCATGGTATATTTAATGCTCTTCTTCAGCATTAAAGCTTAAAGTCATCAACTCTCCTTCTATCATCTCTAGTCATTGTCCAACTCTCTGATGCGTAGATTTTCAAATTCCAAATCAATCGCAGCATAATGGTGCTATTGTTCTAAACGAACATCTCTGTAATCCCCGTGTGGTTATAAATGAGAAATACTCCTCTCTGGGGTCCGAGTCTGTAGACTGAGAAGTGAGAAAGGGCTCTGAGAGAGCACTAGCAGGTCCGCAGGTTATATTCTAAGCAGGTGGTTACTGCATGCCATTGAGCTGGAGCTCACCCTCTCGTGAGTTGTCAGAGGGTGAGAATAAGACTGCTCACTCTTTTCTCCTGGGGCAGCTGGTGGATTCAGACCACCTTGCTTTTGAGTTGGCAGCACAACTCACTCACTAGGTCAACAGAACTAACTTTTCCAAAGCAAGAAGACTCCTTAATAACCTCAGGATGGAGAGCAAGATTCAGACTACAAGTTAGGGAGTTTTCAGGAAAGCAATGGCCCTTTGCACTGAAGTCATGTGAGTTCCAGACAATCATGTAGATGCTCATATGTGCCATCAAGTCACTTGAGACTCATAGCGATCCCAATGTATAACAGCTCTGAAACCTACTCTATTCTGAAGTAACCTTATCACCTCTGACACACTTACCCCAATTACATCAGTCACTGAGTCAAGCCAGCTCGTCCAGGATTTTCTTTTGCATGGTCCCTTTACTCTTCCAAGCATGATGACCCTCTCTAAGGTTTGGTCCCTTTTTTTCTAAATTT